CTTCTTCTCAAAAAATCCATAATTAATTTTTTTCAATTTGATTTAGGTTAGATTGAAAAAAATAAATTTTAAATAAAAATTTTAAGAATGCTCCCATAAAAAAATTGCATTTGACATGGAAAAATTAAAAATAAGGACCTTCTGATGAACTAATTTTTCAACTTTTGCGTCTGGTCACTTTTCTTAACGTGTTAGGCACAAAATTGATTATAGCAATGTCAACATTTTTATCCTCAAACAAATTTCAATTAAACCCTAGCCTAATATAATAAGATAACGTGCATTTAAATTTTATGGTTCAATAACTTTATACTTCATAATAATAAAGTATATTCCTTTAATCTTAGAGTTGGAGTTTAAATCTTCTATCTCTAAGTAGTAAACATGTCCAAAAAATATATATATATAATGCAATAACGTAATTTGATTTTCACAAATCTAAATAAAAATGTAAAAAGGAAATCAAATGCTAATACAAAATAAAATTCAAGAGTTAATTTACACAAACTTTAAAACTCAGGGGACTGAAATCACATTTTATAACTTATGAAAACCTCGTGCTTCTTGCCCAGTTGCCGTTGCAGCCCCGCTGGTGCATTTCCCCTATCGCCCACGGGTTCCTTTCTTCTATTTTTTCTTTAATAATTAAAATACTAAAAAAAATTTATTTTATAATGTAATACAATATAAATTATAAATATAAGAAATTCTAATACAAAATTCAATATCGTGTCATAAAGGGAAAACAAATATTTTTCATTCTGTGGGTGAGGGTGAGGAATAAGTTAACGATGGAATATATATGTATTTTAATTATAAATATATATATATATATATAAAAAGTATAGAAATTATATTAATTTTGATACCAAAGTTACATTAATAAACCAATTAAATGATTAATAAATTAAATATTAATTTTTATTTTTTTAATATAAATTTATAGTTAAAAGATGTAATTTATACTTTAAGGATATAGACTAAAAATGTGTTAGATGCACATTTTATGTATTAATTTATATAAAAAATTATTATTAATTATAATACTAATGTTGTGTGAATATTTTTAATTAAATAATTAATAAAATTAATGTCAATTTTTTATTTTTTCATATATATTACTAATAAAAAATATATTAAATGCAATCTTAATCTATAACACAAAAAAAAAAAAAAAACTTACCGTATTTCTTATTAGTTATGATAATAAAATTGTCCAATATTATAAAAAAAATAAAAGGGAAAATCAAAACTTCTTATAGTAATACAATAAAATTGATAAAATTAAGATTTAATTATATTTACACATTTAATAATTTTAATTAGATATTTTAATATTTTTAATTAGATATTTTAATATTTTTAATATAACCAACAATTTAAATAGATCAATGATAATTTTTTTTTATTAAAAATAAATAATTATAAATTTAAATCATATAGTAAAAAAATGAGATAAAATAAAGAATAAGAAAAGTTAACTGTTATGCAACTAAAAATATATTTTTTTTAATTTTTCTTGTTTTCAAATTTCTTTTTTTTTTTTTGAAAAAAGGCGTGCCTATGGAAAATAAAATAAGTTGGCCCATACAATGACTTTTCGTCTTGTTTATCCATTTTGTCTGCAAAATAAAGACAAAGGTATTTTTACTTTTACGTACATATATATATCAGAACAACAACAACCGTTTCGCGGCACAATTGCGGTGGCAATCGATGTAAATAAAACGCAAAAGTAGTGTCCTTTTAAGCAGACGCTCTCTTCTCTCTTCTACTCTCCTCCTGCATTCTCCTCTTCCTTCGTTCTCCAGATTCAGTTAGGCTTGCTCGTTCGTTCATGGTGGATCTCTGACGAAGAGATGGGAAATGCAAACGGAAGGGAGGAGGGAGCCAACGTAACCGACGATCCGTTGGGAAGATCCAACGGCGATTCGCGGGCAAACTACGGTTCTAATTCGCACCCCGTGGCGATAGTGCCTTCTTCGGATTCCATGGCTAATAGTCCTCCCTCCAGTCCTCGGCGCTCCCGATCCCCCCTCTTGTTCGCTCCTCAGGTCATCATCTCTTCCTTCTTTCTTTCTGCTTTTCGATTTTTTTTTTTTATTTTTTTCTGAATTTGAAGGTATTAGAGCTGTGCTTGCTTGGATTGTGAGTTGAAACCATTTGGTGGTTGTTTCTAAGATGTAAAAATCGATACTTTTCATCCTTTATATATATATTGTGACGTTGGTCGTTGTCTTAGATCATTGTAATGCATTTCTTTGATTGCTATCTTGTTTCCATTCATTGTTGAATAATCTGTAAAATCTTACTTTATTGATGGGATGGTTGTCTGGACTTTGAAAGATGATAAGAGATGGGAGATGAACTGCAATGGGTATTTCTGTTTTTTCAGGTCCCTGTACCTCCTTTACACAGGGGTGATGGTGGTTCTCCATTTTACAACCAAGTACGGCGCCATGAATCTCATGGAGCTGCTGCTGCTACTGCTAATCCATCAGAACGAGGAATACCTGTCATCGTTACTTGGAATTATGGTGGTAATGATGTGTCAGTGGAAGGGTCTTGGGACAATTGGACGTCGAGGTGATCTTGAGTGACTTGTTTTTAATAAGCATTTCCATGCAATTATTGTTTTGCTGAAAGAAGCCCTTTAGTTTAGTGTAGCCAACATATGATAAGAGTCTTATTTTAATGGCTTGCAGGAAGGCACTGCAGAGGTCTGGTAAGGATCACTCGATTCTTTTGGTCCTTCCATCTGGTATGTACCATTACAAGTTCATTGTGGATGGGGAATGGAAATATGTTCCAGATCTTCCTTTTGTAGCTGATGAAGCGGGCCATGTCTGCAATCTTCTTGATGTTAATGTAAGTATCCATATTCACAAGCTTGTGTCTGATTCATCTAGATTTTATTTATTACATGGTGTTGGCATGGTGCATTGGTGCTGAATTCTTTAGAAGTCAATAACATTATAAGCTTTTGTAGTGTGAATAGATGGTAAGATTACTTGGGATGGGGTTGGACGTGGGAAAAGAGAGTCATCTCAAATAATTAGCTGGTATACAAAGCTGAATGAATGCAAATTTAGCTTGCATCGTTAAATAAAAGAAATGAGGTTCTGCAGAATGCGGTAGTGTTAAGTACATATGAAAGAAAGGAAAATGATATGTTCTGAGCAATGCCAATGTCTTTTGAAAAGAAGTTAAGCTTTAAAAGACTGCTTCCCCATGTATAATTTCTATTGCTGCCTTCGTTCTATTGATGCTTCATGCAAATTCTTGTAGGAGTACGTGCCAGAGAATCTGGATAGTGTGGCTGAGTTTGAGGCACCATCATCACCGGAATCTGCTTACAGTCAGGCATTTCCAACAGAAGAAGATTACGCCAAGGAGCCGCATATTGTTCCACCCCAGCTGCATCTGACAGTCCTTGACATGGATAATCAAGACGAAGCATCCTCTTCAAAGCCTCAGCATGTTGTGCTTAACCACCTGTTCATAGAGAAAGGATGGGCAACACAATCCGTGGTTGCCCTGGGACTGACCCATCGGTTTCAGTCAAAATATGTCACTGTTGTCCTCTATAAGCCACTCAAAAGGTAACCTGCCTAATGTAATGCATGACTTTGTAAAGGAAAAAGATGGTTTTAACGAAGTGAAACCGTTTGCCAAGGTGGCCCTGTTTATAGAGAAGTGGTTGGCCGGTTGGCCCTAAACATTGCCTTGTTTGTTTTCTCAAACTCCAAAATATTTGTTTACCTTCGACTATTTTGCTTACTGTAACTTTTTTTTTCCCATTTTCCAAGGAGTGCAGGGTTATGAAAGCACATTGTTGTATAGTTTCTGGGCATATTTTTTCAGTCCATCCCATGCTCGGAGGTGTTATTTTCTAAACATACTTTCAGTGCCAGTAATGATTTGGCAAACCCAGAAATTTATGGGTACCAAAGCAGATTTTAGGCATTGAAATTGAGTACGGTATCAAAATTACATGCGCATGATATTGCAGACTGAAATCTTTCTCAAATGAGAAGTAGCACCGAAGTGCAATAACAGTCCCCAAATGCAACCCATGCCAATGCAGTCAGTATTTGCATCATTTCTTGGCTCTGAATATTTTCTCTTTGTAGTATTTGAGTTCCTTGATGCTCTCTCTGATATCATCCAAGGCTCTGTGGTTATTCTTTTTAACCGGCGCTCTCTTGTGATCTGTACAAATGATGATCACGTATAAGCACATGTACACACCGCAAGCTAACAGTTTGATTCTTCCAATGAAATTTATTTATGTTTTGCTTAAAAGATGATCATATCAAAACTACACACAGAATATAATTGCACCAATTAAAGAATTCATGTTGAAATTAAGAATGCAAGAGAACTGCATATACCTCTCGGATACCAGCGAGCGCATAAAGCCTTGACACTGCTAACGTCCACAAGTACATGAGAAAAAAGACTAGCCAAATTGGGCATATACTTCTGTTAAGAAAAGGCTCATTAGGATGTTGGTTGATAGAAACAAAATGACAAGCTATATACGAGAAGCTAAAACATCAAGACTGATGCTTTTTTTTCCATCAATTTATCAGTGAAGCACAATGACTTTTTTTTTTTTTTTCCTATCAATTTATGAGTGAAGGAGAATAATAATAGCAAGACTGTCAATCTGTCACTAACATAAGGAAACAATCAAACAATTTATGCATTTGTTAACACTTAACAGCTTTGAAATCACAGGGATCTCAAGTCCCCTTGCACAAAACCTAAATTATTGTGACCAAATATAAGTAGTACCAGGTAGAAGCTGCTTGTCAGAAGTCTCAACAGGACGAAAAAAAAAAAGGAAAATGGAAGTGTATACCATAGTTACCATAATTACCTTTAAAAAGATTAAATCCACGTAAACAGAGTTCCCAGCCAAAGGAGGTGTATGTTCACTGACATGCTTCTTAACAAAGTCTATAACCTGTGTGACCACATAAATTTAAGGAAACAAAAACAGGGAATGAATATTAAAGTAGAATGGTTTGATCTAAAATTTCATTCACAAGAATTTAAAGAGCCATTACAGACCTGCTTTTCAGCTTCTCTTTCAGTAATTGTACTATGGAGCACTTTTTTTGTCAACCCTAAAGTAGACCTTAAATTGTTAGTCATCGTTCCTGCTAAAAGCTATAATATAGAAGAGATAATGTCAAACTACCATTTGTTTGAAACCACTTACCACTGGCTGCATGATGATTTTGACACCATTCACCCATTCCATCTAAACACTCTTTAGATTGATGGATAACCAGATCAGGACCCTGAAAGAGAAGAGACCTACTCTAACATGGGAATATTGCATTCGCAATTATGTTTTTAATTTAAAAAAAATGCGTGTGCATGATGATGTACAAGTCAATGACATAGCAGAAGTAAATTCATATTTCATTTAACCACATTTAGTAAGAAGTGCTCAAGAATACACTTAAAACATGAAAGCATAGCTTCCAATTCCAAAACATATATTACCTCAACTGATTTGGTCAAATTCCCATCTGTAATTATGCATGCTATCTCCAAAATTCTATCAACTTCAACATTCAAACCTACATATCAGCAAAAGGAACAAGAAACCAAAATTTAGAGGACCAGTAAAGAGACATGATTGCACTGCATGCGTTAATTAACCATATTCTCACCAGTCATTTCCAAGTCAATCCACACAAGTGGTAATTTGTAGTCTTTCACAGGCAATATTGAACTTTGTTGGCTCTTGTTCTCACGTTTGGCATGCACCGCATCACTAGAACCATTTATCTTGCTTGTGCTCTTACCTATCTCGAGTAAATTACATAACATCAGAAAAGCAATCTTATTCTG